ACAATATATAATTTTTATAATCCAAAATACTTGCATTTTAAATGCATTTTATTACTATCGATTAAGCATTCAACGTTCAGTCAGTTGTGTGCCATGCGTGACACACGCTTAGGTGATCATGTATCATTCGATACATAACAGACAAAGCAGATTTTTCCCCGCAGTAGGTTGCCATTTTTTCTGCACATTAATCATAACAAATAAAATTAATTGTTCGCTTATCCACTATCTTTTTACTATCCAGACGAGTGACTACTATATCAACGAAACTCAGATAAAGGACAGATAAGTAAACAATTTATATTTATTTGTTACTCTCTCTCTCTCTCTCTCTCTATATATATATATATATATATATATATATATATATATATATTGTCCGAATGTTTCGCTGTATAACTGCTCATCATTGTAGCTAGACGTCGGGTTGCCTCTATCTAGGAACGAAACCCAGCTAAATTGGCCTCAATCGGAGATTCTACACCTAAGCCATTGGCGCACGGCTAGGATGAAGGTGAATTTAAGCGTATTTATTTTTAGATAACTACACCGTGACTGAGAGAAGTATATAAGTGAACATTGAAGTCAACACTCAGGAGCGACAGGGTGTTTCATGCTAGACGCAATCGGCCTATTTATATTTACATACACTCTATCTCTGATATTGAACACTTTAGCTCATAAATATAGCACAACTTAAAACTATATATATATATATATATACATATATATATAGGTAATAGATCCACTAGTATATAATGCAGGTGGATCATAGTAATATCAAATATTAAAACTGATCCGCAAAGATTGGACTGTCCAATTTGCCAGGGTTGAATAAGGCCAACGCACTTAGCGCTGGTTGAAATGTTTATGCCCACATGAGGTAATTTTTGATTTTTTGCTTTGTAATATATATATATCTATATCTATCTATCTATCTATCTATATATATATATATATATATATGTTTAATACAGAGATAAAAAATATGTGCGTGTGTGTCTGCTAGAAGCACAATTAAGGGAGTGGCAAAATAGGGAAGATTGTGTAGCACCAATTTTCTATTTAGGAAATGCCAGAAATCCTCCAAGACACAAAAATGCGAGCGGAAAAAGAACCTCAATAGGTACTGTTAGAAAGTCGTAGATACGAATGAACTGCGATTAATAGATAAGTAATGATTGATTCGGTGATAATTATTCGGCTGCGTTTCGTATTGAGATTGCAAATATAAAGAAGACAAAACCAGAAATAAAATAAAGCGATAGAAGACATTACTCAAACCATGAGGTGGGGCTACGCAATTTGTTAGAATGTTAAGGAGTGCCTCGTACCTCGTACCAGATATTTATAATAACGTTCATATGACACGCTACTCGGTTCAATACATTAACCTAAATGTTTCCAATTGCAATACAAATACAGATAAAGCGATCGCCCTAACCATCATGATTTGTAGGTCTTTCAGATCTTTTGGCATGCCGCCATATCAAGTTGAATTACCGGTTCTTGTACGATAACCGAAGATAAGCAACGTCGAGCTTTGTCATTACCTAGTTGGGTCACCGCTTAGTAATACCAGGTGATGTAAGCTTGGATGTGTCTCTGATGTAATGGATGAGGTCTCGGAATTTGAAATCAGCGAATCGAGTTCCAAATCCTGTTCCAATTGATTGATTCGTTTTTTACGGCTTATCAAGCAGTTGCAGATTATTTAAAGCCAGATTTTTGTTTTTTAGATTGTACGAATTTTTGTGGCGATAATAATGATACTAATTATCCCATAGCTGGGGAAGAGGAGGTGAATTCATACGTTTCCTAAGGGTATTTTCGCGTCAGTGAATATAACGAACCCAACTGGAATTGGAACTCAGCTCTCCAATTAACAATTCTGAGCCATTATCCGTTACACCACCTGCGCATATAAGGTTACTGTACCTAAGCTGTCACTCATCTAATTACTGATCAGACTTGGTGTTGCTTAACTTCGGTTAAGCAACAGTATTTCAACGGTGTTTCAACATGACATTGCCGTAAGCTTCCAGCACCAAGTGATTAACACGAAAGTATTAGTCTATATTTCTGAGATTAGGTATTATGAGCATTATTTACAAATATCGGTCTATTGTCCCCATCTTTGTCGCCATATTACAACGTTTCGGCGGTTGTACACTCCGGCCTTCTTCAGGTCGTTGGAATGTCGAACTTAACCCTTTATTTCGCTCACTGGGATAGACTGTTCTAGTTCCACGTGCCATGTTTAATGGATGTTAGTTATCAGTTATCTCCTGTTAATTTCCCTCAAGGACACATGGCACAGTGGATAAAGACATTGGTTTGATCCAGTGACAGGACCCAAAGAGTGTGAGTTCAATACCCGGTTAAGGCAGTGGAGAACTTTCAGAGGGAAATTAACAAGAGATAACTGACATCCATTAAACATGGCACGTGGAACTAGAACAGTCTATCCCAGTGAGCGAAATAAAGGTTTAAGTTCGACATTCCAACCACCTGAAAAAGGCCGGAGTGTACAACGGCCGAAACTTTGTAATAAATATGGTGACAAAGATGAGGACAATAGTCCGAATAATGTAAATAATGTACGAAATTATTATCTTATTATATAATTGTGCTTTTTCTTCCATTCGTTAGCTCACACGTAGGGTTACGCCCTGCCAATACCTCATAAGTAATTGACTATACCGTTTTGATTGCGTGGAAAGACAAAAGACTTATCGAAGACGCTACTTGGTTTCAATGAAAAAAAAGGGAAAGATACATCTTTTCAATGTCTTCTCTTAATACCTCATAAATAATGGACTATTCCATTTTAGTCGCATGAGAAGACATCATCATCACAGATGCTACTTGTTTTCCGTGAGAAAATGAAAGAAAGGAGGGATGATAGAAATGTTAAACGCCTGTTTCGGTCTAAATGGAAAAAGTTGTCAATTTTAAATCTTTTTTTTTTTTGTAACTCATTGTACTTCTTAAAATAACAACCAGCATTCTTATATAGGATTTTTATTGTAATGTTTTGTTAAAGTTCTTAAGCTCAACTATTAAACGTTGGGATAGAGAAATTTCTGTGGATATTTTATTGTCATAGAACTCGCCATGAGCTTCTTGAATCATTAACTTAAGAAATATGATTCATAAAAAATTTCAAGGAAGAAACCCATAAAATTTGCACGGGTTAAAACTAGTTATTTTTTATTACATTAATATTTGCCATGATTAGAATTGATGAAATAAACGACACGTTTGCTTCTGTAAGTATAATTAAACAAATTTAAAATAAACTCAATCACTGGTTTGAGATATAACTTTGAGTTGTGTGTGTGATTGTGTGTGTGTGTGTGTGTGTGTGTGTGTGTGTGTGTGTGTGTGTGTGTGTGTGAGAGAGAGAGAGAGAGTATGTGTGTGTGCGCGCGCGAGCGTACAAATACTTTTTTTAATTTCTTGTTTTTAACTTTATTTTTTGTTTTTCTTTTTCACATGAAAGCTTTTCTCTTAGCACGTTCATTCCTCTATTCATACACAGAATATATATATATATATATATATATATATATATATATATATATATATATATATATATATATATTTAACAGATGTCTATTGTGTTTTATCATGAGCCTTTCCGAGTGTCGTATAATGGCTTTAGTTTAAAAAAAAAGTAGACAAAAAATATCCAATATCTAGTCTTATTGAGGATAAAAAATAAGCAGTAAATAAAATTTCATATTTCAGACGGAAACATCAGAAGCCTGGAGTTGAAGTTGACTTTAGACTTTTCCTACCAATTTGTCTTGCATTCATATATAGGTGGTGTAATAGTTAGCAAGCTTGTCTCGCTAGAACGATTACGAGTCGTGAGATCGATCCTCACTGGATGCGCTTACTTTCGGCTTTGAGCCACATCTAAGCTGCGCTTGGAAAATCGCTGTATTCACCCGTAATTTATCATTTCCATTCGAATTCTAACCGTCCAGATTGAGAGGCTCTCAAGTCAAGTGTTTGGGGGAATTTAGAAAAAACAATAATGTTAATAATTATTGCAAATTAAAAAAAATCGAAGAAGAAGAAAATTATTAAGTGGCCAATAATTTTGACCTGAAAATTAAATTTGGAGAAATCTTAGATTATAAAACTTTCTTCTTCAAAAACAATTTTGTGGTTGTCACTTCTTTTATTAAAAAAAAAATAAAATAAAATGAAAATGAAAAAGATCTCTTTCCAACGTATCAGGATAACTAACGCACAAAATTTATGGTTGCATCACGCAGTACATGCTGAGATGCTCATAAACCCAGACGATGTTATCTCCCTTTGACATAGCTCATCGTCGCCAGATCTTTCGAGTTTGAAATGTATTTTTAGCGCACAATGTATTACAAGTACAAATGCCAATGACGTGTAGCCTCGTTTTCGTGAGAGATTAAGACTATTGTTTGGTACACAGAGGGAATTTTCTTTCAATGTTTATTTCCCCGTTGTTGGATTATATAACAACTACGCCTTGTAATTTGTCACCCGGTGCTTTGCAAACGGATATATAAAAAAAAAAAATGGTGAAACATTGAAATTAAAATTTAGTTTCTGTAAGAATCTGTTATTTACGACCAATTTAAAGGGTAAAATATATAGATTACGTTTGTTTTGTTTTGTTTTTTATTTATTATGAATGGGTACCAATTGTACGGGATGTATGCACCCCAAGAATGTGCGATTGATGTAATGAATAGCAGCTGGGAATAAGAACTTGGAGAGCCGAGTTCGAATTCCAGTTGAGTTCGCTACATTCACTTATGCACAAATACCTTTGGGAAAGGTAATAATCCATCTCCTCTCCCTGCTATGGGTTAGATAGTAGTAGATGTATCTGGAAAATAATCGTTATTCTAAGAAATAACTAATGCAGTGCACCCCCCCAAGCCCACGAAAAAAATAATTATAACTTGCAATCCAAATTATGTCTATACATACCGCTACATCAAATTAAAACACCGTTTCCCGTACGATCACCGAAGTGAAGCAATGTCGAGCGTGGTCAGTACCTAGATGGGTGACCGCTTGGGAGTACTATGTGCTGCAAGCTTGGATGTGCGAGTAGTGTAATGGATAATGGCTCGGAATTGGAAATCGGAGAGCCGTGTTCCAACTCCAATCAGGATCGTTATATTTATTTACGCGGAAATTCTCTTGGTATGAATTCACCTCTTCTCCCAACTGCTATGGGTTAATTATTAAGACGTATCACTAAACGATTATTATCTCACACAAAAAATTCTTACAGTTTAAAATATTTTATGAATTTAAATAACCTTCAAAAGTTTGATAAACTGTAGAAAATGAATCTATCAATCAAGGAGGGAAATCATTCAGCTGCAAAACGAAATATGTTTATGCTTTAAAAGGGTTGATAAGCTGTAAAAAATACAAATAAATCAATCGACGTACGACTCGCATAAGTGTTATTGTTGCCAAAATTAGAATTGGCAAAAAGGTCCAAATTCCGGTTTTGTGTTGAGTTCACTTCAAGCCTTAAAGTGCACTCATCATTACTAGAACAACCGCAATTGTCATATTCCACAAATTCTTTATTTTCCAATTTTATTAGTTTTCTGTTTATCGCGTCATTTTGTTTTTGTTTCGCTGTCATGGTCACTCTTTCGTGGTCCATATTCATTTCCTTGTTCCCAACAATCAAATCAATACAATCTTCAATTTTATTGGATTTTTAATTTTCTACAATTCCAGATATGATAATTAGCATCTTGTTAAGTCTGAAACTTTCTTTTGTCTTAATTAAATAGCAGAGCAGACTAATTTCTCTAGCCTTGTCCTGCAGCCAGTCTCAGGAAAAGAAAACTGTGGATAAGTCAATGGGAATTCACTTAAATAATAGCTTACCTAATAAAAAATGTCACTTCATAAATATTGAAGAAAAGGTTAACTATTAAGGGCCATGATTGACCATATCATTAAAAGACATAGCATTAAAAAGATCAATTATAAGAAAAGTTGAATACATCAGAATCTATATTATATGAAACACTAGAAAATAATTTATTTCTTCCAAAAATCAAAGTAAAATACTGCAATACTAGAAATTCTGGAAACTTCAGCATTGTCTGCTGCGAAATAGTTCACTTGCGGTCATTGGAATAATTATGGTATCAGTTAAATGTTCAGGTATTTGATCATGAAACAACAAATATCCTGAAAACTAGTTCCCATCGAATCCATCAATGTAGTTCTCTTGTAATCATTGAATCCAGGACGGTACTAGACAAATATACTGGAATTTGAGTAGGAAAGAATACATACATCTAAAGTTAGTTTCCACTATCTCCTTCGAATAGTCTCATTGTGATCATTACTCCCATCAAACATCGAATCATATGGCATATATGGAAAGAAGTATGTTTTTTTGTTTTACGGCATATCAACCTCAATGCGTTATATAATGCCGACGAGATTTTTATTGTTGGTAATATTTTTACAAAAATGTATTGCTGGTATTAAAACCTATTTTTACACTTTTATGGTGTTTTGCCCCCAATTTGGGGGTTAAATATTTGCCCATAGCTATAAAATGTGGTATTAACCCGGGTCAGGGTGGACCTGGGAACACCAGCAATTAAGAGGTGATTCCATGCTCCTCAAAACCTCCTGATCAGAGGCCTTGCTGTTGGGTGTATTTTATCGTCTTACCCAGCACACGGATGTTCTTTATCGTTATACCGAGGACGGAGAAAGAAGTAATTAAAAATTATTGACTTCATCATCTCGGACTCTTGGCTTATGTAATTTCTCACAGTCGTCAGAGTTTATAGCTATTATTTTGAATTTGATCATACTTCTTGTGACAAAACTCACAAAACCAGACAACGAAACATCCTACTTTGGCTCACATAAACCATGAATAGTACCTAGATATTATATATATTATATTCGGTTGAGTTATAACGGACATACATGCCTATCATGTCAACCCTCACGATCCTTTATCAAGGTCGAAATGTCATTAGGAACGTATTATGTACAATAACATAGCTAGTCAATGTAGGTAGTTTCTGGGTGATCAACTCTTCTTGTTCAATGGCTAGGTATTCAGAAGTGTAGATCTCTCGCAAGTTCATGATTTGCTAACAGTGTCCTGCAAAGCGCATTCTGTGTTCGCGTAAGATTGTGGAAATATCAGGGATAGGTTCATAGAGAGGTGATTTAGTTACATGTAGTCTCCATGTGATATTAAATATAGCACTCAGCATCCAAATGTAGGTTTTATCAAGCTTAGACTCCAGGGTTTTAGTTTATGCCCAGGCAGAGACATCATGCATTCACACCGCCTCTACAGAGGCGCGTAAGCATCTCCGCTTGAGGTTGCCTGGGAGATCAGATTTCCAGATGACCTTCATTTTAGCGGCCTAGGCTTTTTAGCTATACGTCATCATATTTTCGGTAGAATTTATCTCTCTTCCTAGATATGTAAAAGATTCGACAGATTTTATTGTTTTACATGAGACAGTTTGTAGAATTATGAAATGGTATATAATTCAAATTGAGGTCCTTAAATCACGATCATGATAACATAGTAGAACCAAATAATGTTATCTTATCCTCTTTAGCCGATTATCCTGAGATAATCACTAAAATACTTTTTAAATTACTTCCTAAAATACTTCCCAAAATATCTAGACAGAAAAAGATCGAAGTACTGATTTGAAAAGATTGATACTAGAAGGAATCGTCAGAAAAGGAAGAAAAATGACATTGTATTGAAATGTGGCGAAAAGCGAAACAACATGGTCACGTTTAGGAATCCTGTAACCATTTAGAATCATAGGAGCAGCACATCTACTGCAGCTATATCAGCAGTGGCTTTTCATAGGTAATACAGCCTGACGGATCCCAACCCTCACCAAGCTGGTTTCCTTTTATACTGGTTGACAACCAAGGTTAAGATAGACTTCTATAAACTAAATCAAAACAAAAGAACGTCTTGGTCTGAAAAACACATCGAGTCACATTTCAATCCTGATCACGCTAAGCTGGAAGTGTTCGTAGAATTAGAAAATATACCAATATACATCCAATATACATCCAACCATTACAAAGTCTGTCTCCAAACATGAACAATAACGAACTTAAGGAAGTAAAGAAAGCTATACAAAAGCTCAAGAGTAACAAAGCATTACATGAAATTGAGACTGAACTTTTGGAAATAGCGTACACTCTCTCTGAAATTAGAAACAACTTTCTGATTTTCATGAAGGAAACAGGAATCGCAAGTAGATCCGAAAAAGTGTGGTGTCTCGCGAATTAATGGACTATAGGAACATATAGGTAACTCGCAAGACCATCACAGGTACAGAGGTATCCCAAGTGGCTCTATTATGGTAAAGGTACTAATGAACATTGTATTGATTAGGCTTTCACCGAACTATGAAAATCAACTCCTCAAGATCAAGTCTGTCTTTCGCTCTGGTAAGGGATGTAATAATGTCATATATGTCATCAAACAATTCCAGTAGAACATTCTATACCGGCTACGTAGACTTCACGTCAATATACGACCACATCAATATTGAGTTCCTCTACTCATCCACTAAGAATCGGCTTCCAAACTCACTGAATGTCTAGATCTGATAAATGAACTATACCGGTCCACAAAATCGTGCATGTAGCGTGTGGACCCTAACACCGAAATATTCCAGTCCTCATCAAAGACGAAATGAGAGCCCCAGTTTATTTAATCTCTTCCTGTGCTCTGTGTATATACAAGCTCAAATGTGAAGAGATGGGTACTAATTACTTCAAGATTCCATATCGTATCCGAAATGAATCTACTAATAAAAAACAGTGTTGTTGCTTTCCCACCTACGGTCATTTTACAGAGGATGATGGGGTTCTGCTGATGATATACGTATTCATAGTTAGAAGAAGAATGACCCTGGGCTAAATATTATCCCTTCCGAAGTATTCCAAGAAGTAGGATTCAGACGTTTCCAAAACAGAAACGATTATCTGGAACTGTAATGGAAACAATGTCTCCTTCATAAAAAAATGAAATTAGTAAATACTAAACAATTCAAATACTTCGGTGTATAGATAAGTTACAACACATGTAGTATCAGTGATAAGGAAATTGAATACGTAATATTTAACAGGGTTAAAAATATTGTACCCAGTCAGTCTACGACTATCTGTAAACAGCGGGAATAGGAACAAAAAGAAGACTTATCCCCGAATAGTCTTTGTTTCTCCCAATGGCACCTTTATCCTCGCAAACGAGCAAACATGTCTCGGTGTCTGGGTCGCCCGCTTCGGCATGATGTTTCCGACACAAGGAGATGATCTGCTGCTTTGATTCCACGGCAAAAACCTCATTCAGTAACCTTGTTTTGTTTGATTAATTTTCTACGGCTTAACCCCTTGCAAGCTATTTAAAGCCAGTTTTAGATTGTAAGAATTATTTTGGGGGGATAATAATGATTTAGTGATATAAGTCTTACTAATCAACCCATAGCAGAGGGAAAGAAGAGATGGATTCGTATCTTTCCCAAGGGTATTTGCTCGTAAGTGAATATAACGAATCCAACAGGAATTGGAACTCGACTCTTCGATTATCCATTACTCCATCTGCATTATCCAAGCTTGCTTCACCTGGTATTCCTCAGCGGTCACCTGTCTAAGTAGTAACCAAACTAAACGTTGCTTAAGTTTGATGATCGTACAGAACCGGTGTTTCAACATGATGTGTCCGTAAGCCCCCTCTAATTTAAGTAGAGTGGTCCTTGTATTGGATGAAAAGTAGCAACTTTTCACCCAATACAAGGACCCCTCTTTTTTTCCGAAACTGCATCCCTAAAATAACATTTTGCTTGATGATGAATTGACAACTATTATTAATTTTGACTAGAATTTTGACTAGAATTTTGACTAGTTTTTCGTTGGAACTACTAAGATCGTTAGTCGATGGTAGTTAAATGAGAGTTATTCTTTATTTTCGACCCATGTATTTTACTCGGTTGTAGAGTGATGGTCTGAGTAGTTGATATGAAAATCCATTAGAAGAAAAGCCAGTATA